AAAAATGTCAATTCGGATGAGTTGAAGGAGAAGGAAACTGCTGAGGAAACCTCTATTCAAAACCGGAGCCCTCAACAATTTGAAGAAGAAATCCCTCCAGTCCAAAGCCTTCCAACCTCATCTCAGCCTCATACAGATGATGCTGACAACAAATTCTGGCAGCTCTACTATAATTGGAGAGCTTGGAAAGTTGGAAATTCAGAAGAGCAACTGTTGGATTGGGACCAACAGCTGAAGAATGAAAAGATTATCAAGAAATGCCTAGGACTACCAGTCAGCCACTGCTGTGAAGACATCTTGGATGACTACTGGGTATGGCAAAGGAACAATGAGGATCTGCATCTGGAACACTTGACCACTACACCAGTTTCAGACTTTGAAGCAGATGATGAAGATACTGCAGTCTACAAGCCAGTCTTCTCAAAAGCCACAGAAGATCAAATGGCTCCCACTTCTGAAGAAATAGCTGTTTTGGAAACAACAGCTGAGGATTTCCCTATCTTTCCGGAAACCTCACCTGCATTTGAAATGGTTCTGACTGAAACTGTTCAAGAGAAGGCAGCCTCTCCCCCACAAGAGCAGAACCAGGAAGCAACTGAAGAAGAAGAATTTCAGCGACTGATCCAATCTCAAGTGCTCGAGATCCTCACAACTCCCTGTGAGATCTCCAATCAGACACAACTTGAGATTCTGGAAAAGTCAGCAGAAATTCCGGAACAGTCAGCTATTCCAGAAATTATGGAGAAAGAAGTAGAAGTCCAAAGGCACTCTGGAAAATCTGAGAAGGAATCTCAGATGGCAGAAGAGGAGGTCTCTCAAACTCCAATAGCCATTTTTGAAGAACCAAATGAAGCTGAAGATAGTGACTCACTCTCAAGATACATATCAAATTTTGCACTTGATGAAGCAGAAGGCAAATATGAGAGGACACTAAAGATCACTGATGAAGAAGATATGCAAGAAGATGCTGAATCTCTTCCTTTGCAACTCTTTCAAAGGACATCATCTCCTCATCAGGTAACTAATTTTCACTTCCATAGCTCTTCCACTCCTACTCTTCCGGATGAGATACCGGAAACCTGGACAAAGAAGGTCCAAGGGCTGATTGAGTCAGCCCTAGCATCTCAACATGCCTCCTTTAGGCAAGAGATAGAGCTAATGGAAGCCAAACACACTGAGCTGATAGAGAAAGCTAAAGAGAAATACAGCGCTGATCTCAAGGAGATAAGTAAATCAGTAGAAAAGACTCTAGAGATCATCTCTCTATTAAGTAAAACTGTGAGCAATACGATGGAAATATACACCTCTGACAGTCAACTGCAATTCAATGAATTCAACAAAGTCAAGGAGCAAATAGCAAATGTCACAATTGGTTTACAAAAACAGATGTCCCTTCTCCAAATGGACATCAGATCAGCCCTAGCTATAGCTTCAGCAAATCAGGTAGTAACCAAAGACTACTTGAAGGTGATCATTGACAATCAAAAGGAAGCATACAAGCTATTCAGACTTATTGGTGCACATTCTGGGAACCGCAAGATGGAAGTAATTCTCCAACAACACAGTCCATCTCCAATACCACAGCTCCCTATTGCAGTCAACGAAGGAGAAGCATCTTATGTCCCTTCTCATCTGCACATGACTAATCTGATCCTTGAAGCACAGCAAAGAAATCCGGAAAACTCAGCACAGCACCTATCCAGCTCAGGACTGGATGGAACAGAATTTATAGGTGCAGTTGCTGACCACTTCTCAGATGCTGCTCAA